AGTAGACTCCTCTTGATATGCACAATCTCTTGATCCCCTGTTCAATGAAAAATGCTATGCAATGCAAATGCTAGAAAGAAATGAAATGAAACATAAACCAAGTTAAGAAAAGGTTGGGAAATTTTTGGGGTGCAACAGAAGGGAGGTTACCATTACCAACTGTTCCAGAGACAACGATCTTTCCCTTTTGGTTTCCTCAAAACTTCACGTCTCCACCAGATCTAAGTTCCAGACTTTGGAACATAGACCTTCTTCTCGTCATGTGTCGTGAGCATCCAGAGTCCAGGTACCAGGACTAGTGTCTCAACCTTGCTGCTAAGGACATATGCAACGTAAACTATTTTATCTTTATGTACCCATATCTTTTTGGGTCCTCTGGAGTTAGTTGTTCTGAAGTTCTTCCTAAACTTTTGTCCATTAAAAGTAGTTGTGTTCTGGCGCAGCTTAGGTTTATTAAAAATCATGGTGTTCTGATCTGAACGTGTCTACTTTATGTCATGTGAGTGACCAAATTTAAAATGAGAATACAGAGGAGTATAATTGATAATTAACTCATCAACAGGTTTTGGATTTGATTCCTTCCCAGAAGATGATTCATATCCAATCCCTTTTCTGTTGTTCCTGCTCACACCATAGATCATAGAAGCCATTTTGCTTTTGTTTATGCTTCTGGACAGGAACCTTTGAAAACTATGGTCATACTCTTCTAAAATATTTTTAGAGCTAGACGTAATATCTGTTTCAGATTTTTGTTGAGCTTTTTCCAATTCAATTTTAATTTGAAAATTATTTTCTTTCAGCTCAGCAATTTCTGATTTCAGCTGACCAGTCTCAGATGCAAGACTGCTTTGCAGCTTCTTGTATTTGAGTTTGATCTTACTATAGTTTTCACATATTTCAGATAAGCTTTCAATTAACTCAGCTCTGGTGAGATCAGCAAATACCTCTTCTGAATCTGATTCTGATCCAGATTCAGATGATTCTTCATGCTCCTCTATGTCAGCCATTAGTGCAACGTTTGCACATTCGTCTTCAGACTCTGACGAGGCTTCAGAAGAATCTGAGTCATCCCAAGTAGCCATCAGGACTTTCTTTTTCTTCTCAAACTTCTTCTTGGGTTTATCCTTTTGAAGTTTGGATAATCATTCTTGTAGTGTCCTGGCTCTTTGCATTCATGGCACACTACTTCCTTTTTGATAAATCTTTTGTGACCAGAGGATTCTCCACGGTGTTCTGGTCTTTTAAATTTTGTGAACTTCTTTTGCTTGTGCTTCCAGAGTTGGTTTATTCTTCTGAATAGTAAAGATAGTTCATCTTCATTTGATGAAGAATCTCCAGAGCTTTCTTCTAGTACCTGAAAAGCTTTAGTTTCAGATTTTTTGTTAGATTTTAAAGCTATGGACGTACCTTTCTTCTGAGGCTCATCTTCTTCAAGCTCTATCTCATGGCTTCTTAAAGAACTGATGAGTTCCTCCAGAGTGATTTTGTTTAGATATTTTGAGAGGTCTAACACTGTGACCATAGGTCTCCACCTCTTTGGTAAACTTCTGAATATCTTCTTTACATGATCAGAAGTGGAGTAGCATTTGTCAAGAACCTTCAATTCAGCAGTCAGAATCTGAAATCTAGAAAACATGGTTTCCACAGATTCATCTTCCTCCATCTTGAAGGCTTCATATTTTTGAATCAGCGCTAGAGCCTTCGTTTCTTTCACCTACGTGTTTCCCTCATGTGTCATCTTCAATGACTCAAACATGTCATGCGATGTATCTCTATTGGTGATTTTCTCATATTCAGTATGAGATATAGCGTTCAGCAAAATTGTCCTTGCCTTATAGTGATTCCTGAATACTTTCTTTTGTTGATCAGTCATTGATTTTCTATCAATCTTTTTACCTTCACCATTAGTGGGATGAGTGTATCCATCAATGACTATATCCCAAAGATCAGCATCATAGCCAAGAAAGAAGCTTTCGATTCTGTCCTTCCAGTAATCGAATTTTTCTCCATCAAACATAGGAGGCTTTGTGTTGATTCTGTCTTTCTCTTCATATTTGTTGTTGAACCCAGCGTTAGCGTTGTTTGAAGATTCAGCCATAGTAAATCAAAGATTCATCCATAGCGTTGTTTGAAGATAACTGGTATTTTTGTACTGGTTCGTTTGAACTCAAACTACTCCAGTCCACCCGGCCAAGGTGATTCCGCCTCTTTCAAAAGAGGACTTAATCCAATAATCAAAAACTGATTACAATCTTTCACTAGGACAAACTTGTCTTAGTCTTCTCGGGAATACTGACCACAACTTGGTCTCTCAAGGATCTTTTACAAAGTAATACAATAAAGTGTGTTTAAGTGCTTCTTAGAAAAGCTTTTTCACAACAGTGCTTTAACACAAATGAAGATCAATGAAACTTTCTATTTTCTAATATGAAGTTGACTTGGAAGTGATAGAAAAGTAGGATTTTCTTTTCAGCAAAGTAGTATGTTTGTTGTAGAATAATGTTATATTTATGAATTGCTGTTGAAGACTTGTTTAAATACTTCACACCCATTTCTCAAATAGCGTGCACATGCTTTTTGTCTTCTTTGACTATTTCTTTCCAGGAGAGGAATGTTTAAAGATATCCTTTTTGTTCTGAAATCATGTCCTATACACAAAAGAGGAATAGGGTCGTTGGATGTAGACAATGAATTTGGCAACGAATCTTTCTTGATCAACATCTTTTTAAATGAACGAATATGGAAATATTTCCTGCATCAGATCCTCTGATGATGTTCCATTTTCTTCTTATCAGAGTAACTCTCTTCTAGAGTTCTGCAGCTTAGTGCTAGCGTGATTGTTTTAACAAACTGTTCATCCAGAGGAGCATTTTAGATCAGAGCAGATCTTCGCTCTTACGTATTATTCCCTTCTCAGTGTTTTCCTTCCTTCACTCTAAACCTTCATCAATTTTTGTAACCTTTTCTTCTCTAAGATGCAGAACAAACCCAAAATTCTAAAGTTTGAAAAACTTTATCCTTTGTGTTCTCATGGAAGATCCAAAACAGGATACCCAAATAGAAATTGATGAAGAAAAAAACCACCCATTTTAGTTGTGTCACAGAAAATGGAAGAGAAATTAGCAAGGAAATTAAGAGAAATTGGAAGAAAAACAACCACTCTAACACCAATTTCATCCTCTCTCTCTCTCTCTCTCTCTCTCTCTCTCTCTCTCTCTCTCTCTCTCTCTCTCTCTCTCTCTCTCTCTCTCTCTCTCTCTCTCTCTCTCTCTCTCTCTCTCTCAATAAACCTCAACAATTACAAAACCAAGCATCAATTTTTTCAACCTCTAAACTTTCATCAATTTTTTCAAACTTAAACCGTCACTACAAACCTTTATTTTCTCACCTCCAAAAACCAAACCCAACACTTACCTTTTTTCCTCTAAGATGCAGAACAAACTCAAACTTTCAAAAATAGAAAGACTTTGCTCTTTCTGTTCTCATGGAAGATCCAAAACAAGATACCCAAATGAAAATTGAAGAAGAAAAACAACCACCCATTTTAGTTGTGTCATAGAAAATGGAAGAGAAATTGACAAGAAAATGGTGTTGTTGTAAGTTCCAATCTTCAATTTTCTTTTAGTATTTTGGAGAAGAAAATGGAAGGTGAAGAAAATATGGATGAACACTGTAAATAAAAGATGAAACCTATGAATTCTAGAGTGTTTTTAACACAGAAGCTGAATGTTGAACACCATTTGTTTACCTGGCATGTCATCTCAGCCATAATTAACATTTTTCCACATAAAGTAACCGTAGGACCAAATGGTCTAACAGAAGTGAAATTAAGTGATCATTATGTAATGACTTTTTAATTTGGAAAACAAAGCGAAACTTCACTCAAAGTTAAAGAACATAAGAGTTAATTATGCCAAAAAAATAACTTTAGTTTGTTTCAGTTACTTTAATTTCTTATGCGCATCTTTCTATTTTTCCCCTCCTTTCTCAAATTTTGTTGGATTTGTATTTTGATGGGGTTTTATAGTGACATATTTTATGGTGATTTGGAATATGGTTGGTAGAAGATGAAATTTGGTGTTGTTGTGCGATGAAGTTTAGTTCGACTTTGTTGGTTTATGGTTGTTAATATTATTGATGAAAATGGCTCATGAAGGTTGTTGATGGTATATAGTGGAATATGTGAGATTGTTGTTAATGGTGAAGCTGTTGAGATGGTATTTATGAGGTGAGGTTTATGATGAGTATTAATTTGTGAAGGAAATTGTTTTTTGATTTTTTGTTTATTAGGATTTTCTTGTCACACTTTGGATTTTTTAATTAATGTGAGATAAAGAAGAATAAAAAATAGAAAAATAATAAATTTAAAAAAATACTTAATTAAAAAAATAAAAGATAATATTTAAATATTTCTTAAAAGAAATGCAAAATACAGAATGAAATGTAATTTGAACCCATAACCTTACACTTGACATCCTTATTTGATTACCAGTGGAGCTAACCAACATTTTTGATATTGAAATGCTAAAGATAAAATAATAATAAAAATAAACTCGGGCAAATTTTAGGGTACACTAGAAAAGAATAAAAAATCTGAAGAAAAAAAACTAACAACTTGATTTTTAAAATAGGTGGATGAAAAATGAAATTTGAGAACTGAAACTTTATTTAAACTTGATTTATACAATGAATTATAAACTAAAATTATAAAAAATAATATTTTAATAGAGTAATAAAATAATTAAAATTAATTAATAGTCAATGAAAAATAGAAAATTTTCAAATAAAATAAGTTTATATATATATATATATATATATATATATATATATATATATATATATATATATATATATATATATATATATATATATATATATATATATATATATATATATATATATATATATATATATATATTACATCATTGTACTAATAGATAAATTCAAACTAAATTAATAAAATCGATTACTTACTACATCATTTCAGTTCGATCCCATCGATGGAAAACTTTTCTTCTCAATCACTCTCAATGAACAAAGATGTGTTATCTGCAGTTCCTTTCATGGCTTCTGCCCAATCTAGCACCACTGGAAATACGATGGCGTACATGGAACGCATTGTTAATGAAATCAGCAATTCTGATCTTCGAGAAAACGCTATTCGTGTGCTCTCCAAGGTTCTTACCATTCTATAGTCCTATATATTTTTATTCCTTTTCTTTATTTTAATATTTTTCATTTAATTCACAAGTATACAATTTTTCGAAGGTCGATTTAGCATAAAACTAAATGTGTTCCCTCCATCAAAATAAATTTGGATTGTCATATGAGTCCCTTTTGCTAGATCTAATCATAATTTAGGTCAATTTTTAGTATTTTGGGAGAATCAATGTCAGATTCTAGTCATATTTTGAGTTAGAACCTTTATTGTTTAGTGTAACATGAATTCAAATTTTCAGTCATTATTTTTTATAATTAGGTATTGCTTCTATATACTTTGATGCTTTGTTTGAGTTTTAATTAGGGGTGGAAAACGGGCATCCCCCGCCCCGTTTAGACCCACCCCACAAAAGTCTACAAAAAAAATAGGGCAGGACGGGGCAGTCAAAGTTGAGGATGCGAGCCTAAAACCTATGTCCGTCCCGCAAAAAAGTGAGGGCGAGGCGGAAAAAGTCTGCGGGCACTGCATCTTTTAAGCCTAAAAATAAAAAAAATTATGTAAATGTTAGTGCCCGCAAAAGCCCGCAAAGAAAACGGGGGCGGGACGGAGCAGACATATTTGAGGGTGAGGGTCTAAACCCTTGGCCCACACCGCACTAAAGTGTGGGCAAAACAAACATGCTTAATGAGTCGGACCCGTTTTTCCACCCCTAGTTTTAATGTAGGTAAACTAGTGTTAATTAGATGGGAACAATACCTTATTACATGTTATGACCTACACTAGTAATCATATAATATCATAGTTGGATATAAGTTAAGTCATTTGTGTTGTGACTTTGACCAGTTGAACTCTATATATGTCATTTTTTTAAAGTTTGGTATTCAACCTAGCAATGGACAAATTCAAGGGGACTAATCCCATTTAAATACGTAGAAGAGCTTTATATGACTTTGGTCTAACCCATGAATTTTTATCACCTAGTGAGATTCAAACATAAAACTTTGAGAGGAGCACATTCTCAGGACCATAGCCTTCACCAACAAGCCAACCACAGTGGTGACTCGATATCTCAATTGATTGATATTATTAAACAAACAAAATCATTGACAATAATGATGTTGGAAATCAAAATCATTCATAAGAAAATTAGTTTTACTACCTCATATGGATATCACATAAGATTATTCTATTTAATATTTTTATTCCACAATTCCATTTGTACTTTGTAATGTTTGTTTAGCTCTTTTGATTAACACGTGATTTTTTATGTTATTATTTTTTAATATTTCAGAGGACTGACTTATTCAAGGAACTTGCACCTTTATTGTGGAATTCTTTTGGTACCATTGCAATACTTTTGCAGGTATGTTGCATGTATCTAACGTTATATATTATTTGTTATTTGGATATTTTTCTTTACAACTTTTGGGAAACATTTTCCTTTGCTTCTAATATTTTTAGATCATCTTTATTTTTTATGAATTAGATTTAGTTAAAAGTAATATTGTATATGTGTTTTACTATTATTCTGTATTTTAAGTTATTTATTTTGCATTGGACAGAAAACAATGTCATACTGGATGAAAATAACAATCATTGTCTTTTGTCGTGTTACACTCCTTTATAACAATCATCTTTTTCTATTTTTCGGGTTAATAATCCCCCCCTCTCTCTCTCTCTCTGTAACACCCCACACATATACGTCTAGAATAATATGCAGTGACATTATAATATGGTACATAGAAATATAAAAAAGCTAAAGATGACATAATAAAAATTATATACATCTCAAAAATCCAAACTAAGAGTGTATACAACACATATGTCTTTAAGAAATGCACAACAAAAGATAAGATCTGATAAGGTCTTCATTGCTTGGTGTAGACCGAATAGAGTCAGGATCTAGCACCTTATCAATTCAAACACTTTCCACACGTCAAAGCAACCTGAAAGTCTGGTCCCTTTGTCTAAGCTCCTAAAGGTTTTCTGCCTAACAGGTTTCTAAACCTTCTCTGCCACTTGCAACAATGATTGGACAATGAATCCTACTGACTTCAAGCTCAACCCCTTTGCAAAACTTGCTGACTATATTCCTTCTCAAGTGTTTCTTAAGTTTCCTCCTCTACTACATGAAAGGTTCACTTCGTCCAGTCGAAACCTTGGAAACTACAATTTCCTTAACTCTTACCATGATAGTTGAGGTTGCAGACTACTCTGCATCGGATGCTCCTCTTACGTATGACAACTTCCAACACCCCTCTACTCAGTCAGCTTCTACTACTTCAGTATGAGCCACTAGAGATCTTGCGCGTCCTCGTGGTGGCTCCTCTATGATCCTATCTATCAGTATACAGTCAATGAGTTGATTAGGCTCATCAACTGAATACTATGTCAATAGAAATAAGGCTAGCAACACACACATGTGGGGAGGATGAGAATTGTTAGTGATGTCTCATGGCTTGGTCGAGAATCGACCTGCTCTGATATCAACTGTAACATCCCATTCATATACGTCTAGAATAATATGTAGTGATGTTATAATATGGTACATAGAAACATACAAAAGTTAAAGATGACATAATAAAAATTGTGTACATCTTAAAAATCCAAACTAAGAGTGTATACAACACATATGTCTTCAACAAATGCACAACAAAAAGATAAGATTTGATAAGGTCTTCATTGCTTGGTGTAGACCGAATAGATTCAGGATCTAGCACCTCATCAATTCAAACACTTTCCACACGTCAAAGCAACCTGAAAGTCTGGTCCCTTTGTCTAAGCTCCTAAAGGTTTTCTGCCCAACAGGTTTCTAAACCTTTTCTGCCACTTGCAACAATGATTGGACAATGAATCCGACTGACTTCAAGCTCAACCCCTTTGTAGAACTTGCTGAGTATATTCCTTCTCAAGTGTTTCTTAAGTTTCCTCCTCTACTACATGGACCAAAAGAAAGGTTCACTTCGTCCAGTTGAAACCTTGGAAACTACAATTTTCATAACTCTTACCATGATAGTTGAGGTTGTAGACTACTCTGCATCAGATCCTTCTCTTACGTATGACAACTTCCAACACCCCTCTACTCAGTCAGCTTCTACTACTTTAGTATGAGCCACTAGAGATCTTGCGCGTCCTCGTGGTGGCTCCTCTGTGATCCTATCTATCAGTACACAGTCAATGAGTTAATTAGGCTCATCAACTGAATATTATGTCAATAGAAATAAGGCTAGCAACAGACACATGTGAGGAGGATGAGAATTGTTAGTGATGTCTCATGGCTTGGTCGAGAATCGACCTGCTCTGATATCAACTGTAACATCCCATTCATATACGTCTAGAATAATATATAGTGATGCTATAATATGGTACGTAGAAACATACAAAAGTTAAAGATGACATAATAAAAATTGTATACATCTTAAAAATCCAAACTAAGAGTGTATACAACACATATATCTTCAAGAAATGAACAACGAAAAGATAAGATCTGATAAGGCCTTCATGCCATATGTACATCCAAGCCTTTAATCTAGACCTTCTAGCAATTATTCACTTCTAAGAGACACTTGAAAAATCATAATAGGATTCGAGTGATGTTACTAAATCCCAGCGAGTCCTCTTATCCCATGAGTCCTCTCGGCTCTACAGGGTATATGCATCAATACAGATCCACCATTAATCCAGGGTTTCATCACTCTCAAGTACATGAATACTCAATCATCACATACTATCCTCAGTTGGACTCCCTTGACCGCCCAATTGAAAATCAACAAACATACAATAGAACAATACAACCTAGTATGCAAACCTATACCCATGTACGAGAAATCCAGAAGTAGCTCATGCCTCAAAGGACTCAAGAAACAAAGAATGAAGCATTTCACAATAACATGTAAGTTAATAGCTTAAATATTCTAGCCACGTAGGAAAATAGGAGCTACAGATCTATCACGTCGAAGTTATTGATGAACCTCTAGCCCGACTAGTGTTTCAAATGTTGTTGCCGATTGACAATCTGTTGCCCATCAGGGCAAGAGTTTACCGAAGTTTCTGCCCATTTCTATATGACTAGGTCCAATAAGGCGGTTTCAAGAATTTACTCGCCACCTTCTTTCAAGACTAAGCCTAGTAAGGCGGTATCCACAATTTTCCTACCTTCTGTCTAGTAGGATTTACTCTCTTATGTTTCGAACTACGTATTGACTAAGTTCGAAGATTCCAACTTTCACTCCCTTAATCCCATTATCTTGGAATTATGGAGTACTAGCAATACCAAGGTTATTCTTCCCAAACCCAGTTGGTTTCAACCCATTCCAAGTTTTCTAGCCTTAGTTACAATTATCTCAATTCAACCTTGTCACAACATTTTCTGCATGAATCCTAAAACAAAATTTCTAACTTCAAAATCACACTGGAATACAAATCATATGATAAAATTATGAAACTTTCCAGTATGAAAGTATCGTGAATCATCTTTCAAACCCAGTTAGTTTCATCCCAATCCATGTTTTCTAGCCCTAGTTATAGCCATTTAAAATCAGTCATGTCACATCACCTAAGAGTTCCATATTCATCTATCATTTAATCAAACACAAATTCATATGGAAAACTGATCATAGCAACATGAACATTAGGATATCATTAATTATCCTGATTTCACATAAAACCCTAAGACTTTTCTAAACCCCCAAGTCCTAACTAGGACTCACCTTGATCAGAGGATATTATGATTTCCCATCTTGAGATGGAGATGGTCACAACTTCAATCTACCCTCTTAAGCTTTTATACAAGCTCACAACCACCAAACCCATATGCATGCCTTAGCATAAATCACCATCAGACCTCCAACTTCAAACACAATTTTCGACCTCATCACAGACCCCAAGTGCACAAAATTAGTATTAAAGGTAAAGTGAATTTTATCTAGTTTTTGAAAAATTAAAAATATTTCAATTCTGAGTTACACAGAGAGAGTTATTACCTTTTGAATGGAGACATGTCAAGAATCTGAGTTCTGCACAACTTCTTCGATTCTTGAATTACTCATACCTCTTGCTCCTTAAACCCTAACTCTTTTTTGATAAAAAGATGAAGATGATTTGATAACTATGATGATTCACATTGATTTTGTTCTTCTTCTATAATCACCGAGTTTTTTCTCACATGTATGTTGATGATGAGCTTTAGACCACACTACCTTTCCTCTCTTTCCTCCCTTTACACGTTCCCTCTCTATCTTTCTTTTCCCTTCCAATCTGATTTTTCTACCCAGGGAACATAGTGAGAGAATGAGGGAAAAATTTATATTATAACCTTATATGGTTCTCCTTATGGTTCTACCAAGACAATGCAATTTTTGCCCTCCAACTATGTCATATTTACTAACTTTCCATGTTGTTCAATCTTAACCAATTAACTTAATTCATTCTTACCTCCACATAACATGAATAGGAAAATTGGGATCTCTCTCTCATATATATATATATATATATATATATATATATATATATATATATATATATATATATATATATATATATATATATATATATATATATATATATATATATATATATATATATATATATATATATATATTTTCAAGATATGTTATAAGGAAAACTTAAAGTTAAATTGTGACAATATGATTTATTTATAAGTTTGTTGAAATCGTAGTTTAGTTTTGTAACTGCAATCTATAGAGTATAAAAATTTGTTTATTGGTTGCTTTGTACTTACCAATGGTGATATCTTATTTTATAGGAAATACTTTCAATATATCCTACTCTTTCACCACCGACTCTTAGTTTTGCGCAATCAACTCGAGTGTGCAATACTCTTGCACTACTTCAGGTGATATAAGCTTCTCATGCAAATTTATACTTCTAAAATACCAAAATATCACTCATGTTATAAACGAGACAGTATTCAAATATCACATATTTAATTTTCTTTTTCTCATCTAAACTATATGAAATCTAATTATCATTTGTCTCAATTTTTTATTATTATAGTGTGTGGCATCTCATTCTGATACAAAGAAGTTGTTCATCGAAGGTATTATCATGTTTCTTATTTATTTTAATTAGCAAGTTAACATCACTAAATTTATTAATAATAGAACTCTGAAGTTGTACTAACACTTACCTTTTTTAATTATTCACAGCTAACATGCCTCTGTATTTGTATCCCTTTCTTAAAACAAAAATCAAGTCACCTGAATTTGAGAACTTGAGGCTTGCTAGTCTTGGAGTCATTGGTGCTTTGGTGAAGGTATTACATCATAAATAATTGTGTTATGGTTTATTATAAATTAAAATAAAAGTAATTATGATATAATAAATTTGGAGATTATTTTTCAAAGACTAATAAAAATAGTTTTTCATTAATACGGTTGAAAAACCATACTATCATAAATATTGCTTTTATCTTTTATATTTTATTTTCACAGGTTAACACCAAAGAAGTTATAGGGTTTCTTCTTTCAAGTGAGATAATTCCATTGTGCTTGAGCAACATGGAAATCGGCAAAGAAATAACAAAAACTGTAAGTTTTATATTCTTGTTTTGCTACCCAATTTGTTTTGTATAGATTTTTTTTTGTCCATTTTCGTTACTAATTTTCAAATAAAATTTGTATATTTTTGCAGATTGCAACATTTATAATTCAAAAAATTCTACTAGATGACGATGGTTTGGCTTATGTTTGTGCTACAGTAGAACGCTTTTTTGCAGTGAGTCGAGTTTTGGACATGATGTTGGAAAATCTTCAAAGACAACCTTCACTTCGTTTTTTAAAGCTTGTGGTTACATGCTATTCTCGTTTGTCTGAGAATCACAGGTTAGTAGAGAATGTCATTATCTTAAATGTTCTAAAATACTCATTCTAGTCTGAAATATAAGCGATTATTTATTCTTAAAGTTTCTGATAAAACTTATTTATCATATTAAAGCAGGGCTGGTATTGCACTAACAAAATGTCTCCCAAACATGCTCACAGATAGCACTTTCATGAATTGCCTTCGTGTAAGTACCTCTTGTGATATAGCAAAATTCAAATTTTATTTAGTACTGGTTTGATTATAATCAGAGTCGTCTCAAACTTTTAAGAGGTCTTATTTAAGTATAAATTAGTTGTAGAATATATGTATGGAGACCATTTTTGCTATAGTTTAAATATGAAAAAGTATGAGGTCCTGTGCTATAGATCACCTTACACACCCTCAAAGACGGCACTGATTATTATAAGATAAGATATGGCATAACATTTTGTATATTTTGATTCACGTGCTACCAAGTCACTATTATTTAGGCACACAATCTGATATTATTTTGATGTATTCAGGAAGATCCAACATGTTGGAGGTATGTGAAGCAGTTGTATGAAAATGTTGGGATGAATGAGGTTCCTTTAGTACCAGGTGGAGAAATAATCAATGATAGGGTTGGATCATCATTGTTTGGAAACTGATATCTCTTTTTCCATCTATTGGGTTTACAACTCCAGTAACTTCTTGCTTATATGTTAAGCTGCTATAATCACTTTAAATCTAAATACATTTCTTGTTTGTGCTAATAAATTTGTATCTACATTAGGTGGTTCTTTTGAACCCATGATGAATGCTCAAGGTGATGATAGGATATTAAATGTGTTTGACAGACATGCAAAATATTTGGCTCCTTCAAAGCATTTGTGATAGCATTAGTCGTATGATACGTAACTTTATTCGAGACAAGCTTCAATTAAATGATAAACTCTAGGTAAACATTTCTCTCTAAAAAATATTTATTAGGGTTAAGAGAATGCTTAAGGCACTGATCCACTTAATTAAGACCAAAGGGCCAATTAGGAGTTAACTAGTCATACAAGGGTTGTTATGGAAATGTGTGTTTTAAGTTGAGGGTTAATTGATAATTGGAGTTTGGTGATATATTAATGTGATTCTGGATGGAAAAACACAAATATTTCATTTGGTTCATCCTCTTCCTAGGAAGAGAGAATAAGGAGTTCGTGAGGTAATTGCAAGTTTGTCTTACTTGTGATCACCCTCGTTCCTCCATGATCATCACCAACCAAGAAGGTTTGTATGGATGAATCAATTGGATTTGGGAGAGAATAATTAAAAGACTCTTGAAAAAGGAAAGCTTGACTTTGAAATAAGGAGAGGAGGAATTTAATCACCTTTTTGAAGAATCTCTTATCAACCCAAAATGGAAGAAATCAAGGAAAATCATGTGGAGTTAGAGTTTTGGTTGAAGAAGTGGGAGATGATCACCTAATTTCTTAAGGGTTTTTTTTCGAGTTGGTTTGGGGAGGGTTTTAAAGGGGAAGGCTTAGAGGTGTATGTTTATACTTTGATACATATTTGATATTAAAAAAATACATGATACATTAGTATATATTATTATAATGTTTTTTTTTAAATAACAAATTCATACCAAAATATAGACATAGTACTCCAAAGCCTTTCACTTAGGTTATGATCTTGAATTTAGATTAGAAGAGTAATATTGCATATGGTGTGTAAAGCTTTAACTAGTAATGTGGTGAATGTCTGCAAGAGTGAGGATTTTGATGGATTGATGAGCTATTAAATTGATGTGCTTTAAGTGTATTTTGGTATCCTAATTACAGTGATATATTTGTGTGGATCCACAAGGGACAGTGAGATCATTTCGCCCACGTGGGGACGATATCGCTCGCAACACTTGCCACATGCCCAAATTAGGAAGGGCGTGGGAAGTGACATGTCTTGGTCATAAGTGGTGCAGAGAAAAAATACGGGGAATAACCTATTTTTCCCTAGGAAATAGGAATTCAATGGTCCAATACCCTTTTACTAGAGGTTTCTATTTTAAAGAAACTCTAAATCCAGACCATAATTCTCTATAAATACCCCAACCTTAGGGTTGAGGAGGACAATATGATACTCACACAGAAAACACCCCTAAAACAGAGCTTATCACCCCCCCCCCCTAAGCTTACTTTAACTCCCACATAAACACTAAAGCCTATGGAAACCTCTACCAGCCTAAGGTTGCTATGCATATGTACTTTTTTTAGCAAGTACAATAGTGTTCACTGTGCGGCCCCGGTAAAACTAACTCAGTCCACACCTTCCATTATTACCACCACTTCCATCCTTTTTCTTGGAAAATTCCAAGAAAGATCCAAGCTTCATGTTTAACACTAGCGTTAGAAGTTTCACCAGTGGGTGGAATTCCAACTCCTCCTAGAGAAAATATGCCATGCAGGTGTTAAGTGCGAACATAATATCCCTCAGGCTTTTCAAAGCCACATGGAGAGGGCTTCGGTCCATAATCATTTTTTTTCTAACAGTGACGACACCAGTATCTACCCTCATGACAATGACCTCATGGTCATCACAGTGTAATAGGATGGTTAGGGTATCAAATAAATCTTGATAGATCCTAGAAGCTCAAAAGACATCTTATTCTATAACACCTTCCAAAATTTGTAACTCAATCCTCGTAGCATTAAGGAATTCTAGGTCTCACTAGTGGGCTTGTTAAGCGAGCAAATACAAGTAAGGGGTCATGTAATCCTTGAAACGATCCATGTCTAAAAAGTAAATTCCAAGGCGATTGAAGTATATTACCTTGTGGTGGATGTATTATCGCCCTATAACGTCATCCTTGGTAGGACAATCATCAATTTGGTTGGGGCAGTTATATCCACCCAGTACCCAATCCCGAAACACCTGTTACCTAGCGGGCAAGTAGGAATGGTCTAATGAGACCAGGAAAGCACCCATGAATATTATTAGAGTAGCCTAACAGTAAGGAAGAAGGATGTCACCTACGAGGTTGCGCCCTCTTCTGAGGCGGGAGACACAAACACAAAGATTTGAAATCCCATACTCGGTGTAGAGAACAACATAATCACGCCCACAAAAGATCCAAAGAAGGTTCAAATAGGGCCTTTGGGTCACCAAGTGACAAAGATAGACACACATCTTTCTGAAGAAGAAAAGTGCGAACTAGTCGACCAACTAAGAAGGAACTTCAACGTGTTCACTCGGACCCCCTCCGATATACCAGACATAGATAACAGAGTGTTGTGACATCTTCTCATCATCGACCCCACTGTGAGGATAGTGTCTCAAAGAAATCAAAAGGTTTGCGAGGAGAAGAGAGCCTTCATTGTTGAATATTTGAATAAGTTAGTGAGAATTGGCTTCATCACCGAAGTAAAATACCCAATTTGGATAGCCAACATTGTCCTAGTAAATAAATCATAAAAAAAAGCGGCACACATACATTGATTTCATAGACTTCAAAACAACCTTTCCCATTGACCCTTATTCCCTACAAGATATTAATCGCCTGATCGAAGGGTCCTCGTGTTATGGGATTTTGAGTTTCATGGACTCTTACTTGGGGTACAACTGAATTAAGATGGATCCCTAAGATAGCGTTCGTGCCAAACCATGGCAACTACTAATATAATGTCATGTCATTTGGCTTAAAGAATGCAGGCGCCACCTATCGGTGATTCATGAATGTGATGTTCTCCCAAAATATAGAGCGTAAGATGGAAGTCTATGTCGATGACATGATAGTAAAAACATATGAGGTGATAAGTCATGCAGAAGACTTAAAGGGTGTCTTGGGATCAGTCAAGAAGTATAACATGCACCTAAACCCCACCAATTTCTCCTTCAATGTGAAAACAGGAAAGTGCCTTTACTTCATATTAACCAAGAAGGGCATTAAAGTGAACCTGTATTGTTATGAAGCCACCATCAACATGAAAATTCCCACCAATGTTAAAGAGGTCTAGCAACTAACAAGTAGTCTCACCTTTTTACATCATTTCCCCTCCTGTGTGGGAGACAAGGCTTTTCTTTTCTCTGTCGCCCTGAAAAAGAAAAAGAATTTTGAATGAATAGGGGAATGAGAGGAGTAATCCTTAAGAATAGTAACCTTCCTTGCATCGCCACATATCCTAACTCGCCCAAGAGTATGGTCATCATTACTACTCTAGTACTTGTCCAAGAGGCAGATAAAGCATAACGTCGCGTGCAATTCATAAGTAAAGTTTTTAAAGGCGTCGAGGCATATTACCAGAAGATTGAGAAATTAGCTTTGACCATCATAACTACGGCTGTCGCTACTCGAAAAAACAAGGGCAGAAGAGTCGCCACCGAACTTTATTTATCCCATGAGGAAAAAGGAAAATATCGATAAAACCTTAAGAAAGAAATGGATAAGATGGTCTCGTGACCAAGAACGGGTTCGGAAGCCGGTTATGCGAAGGGAAGGTATTAACACCCTTCGCATCCATCATACTCGATGGGAACCGTTTGCTTGTCGCATGTGTGAATTTATTTGCTTAAATATTATACTATAAAAGAGTGTTCCAAAGGAGGAGAGCAAAGGGATTGAAACAGGAAAATGAGAGGTTAGGAGGAATTAGAGAAGTAACGAGGGAAGAAGAGAGAAAGAATAAACTCGATAGGACTTCGCGGTCCTAGGCCTACGTATTCTCAAAAGACATGAGAAATTCAGAGTCGACGTAGTTCGGGGAACTACAAATATGGGGGGAATGTGCTCGGCAAGGATTATGACCCTTGTGCCTACGTATCTTTACTTGAAAGAAGTAAAGAATCAGAGCAGCCGTAGTTCGGCCTACGGTTTGTTAATGTTTTTATGGATGACGTTATCGTGCGCGTTCTAGCAGTTTAGGTGTTTTGCAGCTCGCATGTGAGGAGACTTAAGCGTTACCTGTTTGCGGTAGAACGGACGTATCATATCCTTTTTTAAATGATTAGGTTTTCGCCATGCGAGGCAAGATGTCACATTTGATTGGTTGAATTGTTTTTAGAGGCGAGATAGGTCTTCGGATAGTAACCCCTTGCGGATAGTACCCAATTCTTTATCTCAAAGTTTTTTGTTATGAAAGGTGTGGCGAACGTAGCGTCTTCGTATTGAAAGACGAGTATCAAAACCACACACACTACAGTGAGTATCCCGACACTCGGAGAGGATGAAGACTACACTTAATCCTATCTCTTTAATTCAATACAAAGAGAATTTCATTCTCTTATTAAAGATGTTTTTTTTTTGTTTTGAATGGTAAGTGCTTTGCAACTGTAAACCCTACGGTAAATGTCAGCACTCGGGATAGGATAAGGCCTACGCCTAACCACTCCATGACCATTCATGTTTTTGTTATGAAAAGAAGTTTGAAAGTGCGCTCGGTACGGGACCGAGGTTTTAGGTGAGAAAGGCTGCGGAGAGAAGTTGTGAAGGTGAGAGGTGGTGGATAAAATTGCGTCTTCGTATTGAAAGACGAGTATCAAGACCACCCACACTACAGTGAATATCGTGATACTCGGAAAGGAAGGAGTCTACACTCAATCCTCTCTCTTTAGTTCACTACAAAGAGGAATCTATTCTTATTGCAAGATGTGAAGATGCACTCGGCATAGGATCGAGGTTTTTAGG